TATGTCATGATATGAAAGGAGGATATTTAGAAGATAAGTATGTTAATTAAAAATTTAATTTTAAATAATTTTCATTCATTTTATCTAACTATTAAATTTTAGACATACACAAGGATGTCAAACAAATGAACCTTGTTATCGATTTTTTCGTTGGCATCTAATTGATATATTCACTTATTTTTCTCATGAACTTGTTACTATTCCACCGTTAGTTTGGATCAATTGTGCACATAAAAATGGTGTTCAAATACTTGGTTAATATGATTTTTTAAAATATTTAATAATATTTAAATTATATTTTTAGGTACATTTATAACTGAATTTGATAATGGAAAAGATATATGTCGTCATTTATTAGCATCTGATGAAAATGTTGATCGAGTAGTTGATGCTCTTGCATTACTTATGGCATGGTATAATTTTGATGGATATTTATTAAATATTGAGAATCCAATTGAAGTTTGTAAAATTTTATTTTCAATATCAAAGAATAATTTTTTGTTTATTCTTAGCCAGAATATATTGAACGTCTTCTTTCATTTGTTTCAAAACTTAAAATAGCTTGTTCAAAAATTGATCGAAATAGTTTAATTATTTGGTATGATAGTGTAACAATTCATGGTGAATTAAAATGGCAAAATCAATTAAATGAATTAAATATGTAAGAATATTTTTATTCAATTGGTCTTAGAAAATTCAAAAATAAAATATCCTATAGAGAGATTAAATAGTGCTATAGAAAATTTTAATCTCACTCTTACATTCCTCATCTCGCCCAGTCTTTTATTTAGTGAGTGGACTGAGTGGGCGGCACCCACCCAAAATTTTGATTGCGCTCACCTGACATCTCAATTCTCGCTCCCGAAAAAGAAAACCTAGATAAAATACTGATCTCGTCAATCCTAGACATGTCTTGTTCTATGATATTTTCTTTAAAATATTGTATATAGGCCGTTTTTTGATGCTTGTGATGGAATATTTTTAAATTATACATGGAAATCAGAAATGCTTATACAATCGAAAATAAATGCTGGAGAACGTTATCGAGATGTTTTCGTTGGTATTGATGTTTTTGGTCGAGGATGTTTTGGTGGTGGTGGTTTTAATACATGTGAAGTACACATATTTTTCTTTTTTGGGCTTCTATAATCATTTTCTTTCTATTAGGCAATGTCTTTGAGTTATACAAATGATTTAAGTACAGCTTTATTTGCACCTGGTTGGCTGTTTGAAACACTTGATACTAATGAATTTCTTGAAAATGATAGAAAGTGAGTTTATTCCATTTGAATAAACGATATGATATATATTATAAAATCAATCTAGATTTTGGAATTTATTAGAACCATATACAAGTCAAAGAATTCTTCATATGAAATCGTTAACAACATATTTTTCTGATGGTTTTGGCGAGAACTTTTTCATTAGTGGCTTAGTAAATATCCAAAAAAATTTTATTTTCAAATTTTTCAAATCTTCAATTTAGAATTTAGCGACAAATCCGTGGTATAATCTTAGTTTACAATCTTATTTACCAAATGTATTAAGCGAAAATAAATGGTTAATTAAACATGATGATGCTTATTTCGGTGGATCATATATTGAAATTAAAGGAAATACGGAAGGTTATTCTAAGTAAATTTTGTTTAATATTTCCTTTATATATATCGAAATCATTTGTATTAGATTATTTAAATGTTTAATTCCAATTGAATCAATTTGTGAAATTGTATTAGTTTTTAAAAATATTGATAATATTATACCTGAACTTAAATTTGATAATGGAACATTCATTCATTTATATAAAAGTGAAAAGGATTTAATCATTCGGAATTGGAGACAAAAGTATGAGAATATTTATCATCATTCCAATTTTATTTTTCATGTTTTATTAGAACATATCGAGTTAGTGTAAATGAACGAAAATCGATTACTGATATATCGATTTGTTATGAAAAGAATGTAGATTCAGTTATTAAACTTGGCTATTTATCAGTAAGATAATTAATTGACAATTTTTGATATTAAATGAAACAAATTTGTCTGTTTAGATTCGTCCTATTGAATCTTGTTGTTCAAAAATCGAATTATCATCACCATTGATTCAATCAATTGAACATAATTCGAATTTATCCATGACTTTACATTTTGGTGATTTTATTCAAGAACAAATATCATCAATAATATTAATTTTTGTACGTGATCAATTTGAACAATATACATTTCTTGGTGCTACACATCAAACATATTTTGTTATTTTTAAATCAGAAATAATCGATGATAAACAAGAATATTCAACATTAATTGTTCGACATTATTCACTTGATAGTTTAGATTTAATTAATGAAACAATACTTCGATTACCAATAGCATATAATTGTTTGAAAAGCTTTTACTTAGAAAAATCTTCTTAAAAAATAAAAAAAAATCGATTTTTATACGAAACGTTTCTTCTTCTTTTTTCTAGATTAATATGGATATGAATATATCTAATTTAGAAATTTGTTGCTTAGCTTATGATAAACAATTCGATCAAGTTAAAGCTAAAATAGAAAGTGATCCCGAATGTCTCAAAAAGAAAGATCGTGTATGGAGATTGTTTTGATTTATACAAAAAAAAATTCTATTGATTATCATTTTATTATAGGATGGTCGTACTGTTCTTCATTGGGCTTGTTCAAGTGGTGCAAAAGATATTGTGAAATATTTACTTGAAGTTTGTCATGTTCGACCAGATATTCCAGATGAAGTAAGAAGAATTCTAGAAATCGAGTTTTCAAAATATTCGATTCATTTGAAATAAAAATGAAAAATCAAAACGGAAGATTCAAATACTTTTCTAGCTTGGTTGGACACCTTTGATCATTGCTGTATCAACTGGTCATATTGAAATTGTTCGAATGCTTTTAAAAACAAATAAAGTCGATATTGAACAATCTAATTCATCCGGTGCACGACCATTACATTATGCATGTTCAAAAAACTTTTATGAAGTAAAATATACAAAACATCTACTTATATTCTTTGAAATATTAAACTTATTTTTAGATAGCTGAATTATTACTTGAACATGATGCTGATATAAATGCAACTGATAAATATAAACAAACACCATTAGATCGTTGTTGTTCAAAAGGAAATACACAAATAGTTCAATTATTATTAAAACATCCGAAAATTGATCTAAGTATGCATAAAGAATGTGATGGCGAT